GACTAATTCTTCAAGTTGTTGTGTGGTTAAAAAAGCTTTTCCTGGTTTGAGACGACCTACACGACCTATTTGTTGAACCATACTAGCAACGGATAAGAAATTGATATCAGGAGTATCATAAATCCATTTTTGGGCATCAGTTCCTAATCTTTTTAATTGTGTTTCACCGGTTAATATTACATTGTCAACATCTGGGGAGAAACCCATTTCATAATTTACATTTGCGATGAAGAGAGAACCAGGTGGCATTCCCTCAGTTATACCTGTTACAGCGGAAGAATTTGTAGCATCAAATATTACAAACGGGATATCACTATCTTCTAACATTTTAAATTTTTTTGGATCTAATCCAGATTTTAATCTTATTGCATTTAGATCTTCTTCACCTGATGGTTTGAGATTATACTCGTCTGTGGTTGTTTTAAAAAATATTTGTGTTTTTTCATTAGCCCAATCTGTTTGATCTTTGAATTCAGTTATTGAATAAACTTCTCTGGGTTTTGATGTTGATATGGAAAATTTTTTTTTCGGAAAAGTAGCACTCATTACTAAAAGTTTATAACCCATTCTGATGAGCAAAGGTTGTATTACTTGATAAGCTATGACTGGAAAATATGCTTCATCGAATAATATTATGGTGTTATCTTTATCAATCAATTTTTCTTTGATATTTATTTTCATTTTATCTATATCATATACTTGTTCAGGATTTGTGCTGTTACTTGTTACTAATTCATTGATTTTGGTTTTTCCACATGCGATGTATCTGGTTAGATGATGTAATTGCAATATTGATAATGTTGATTCACCATCTTTACCACTTGTTTCTTTTTTGTATATTGGTTTTGTTAAATCGTCTATATCTTTACCTCTTTCTTTTTTTTGTTGATATCCAATTATTTCATTACCATTATCCCATGAAGCAAGAGTATCTTTTTTAACACTGTAAGGTAATTTACCTTCTTTTCCATGAATCACACATTTGTACGGGACATTGTTTCTATATTGTAACCAAGATGTGTGATGATTGGCAGCATCTGCGGCTAATTCATTGTTAGGTGTGATTAATATTATGTGCTTTCCAGGAAAGATACATGTTAACAGACATCTTGTTAATTTAGTAGTTTTACCACCGCCGGTTAATATAGGCAAGACTCCAGGACCATCAACATCGACTATTATTGTTTCTGTTGTTTTTGATACTTCTTTTATTTTTCCTGTTTTTGGATCTTTGGCTTTTCCTTTTGTAGTTTTTGTTTCTTTTTTTGTTTTGGCAAAATTGTCAATATTATAAATACTACTATCAGGATCTTTAGGATCATATTTGTCATTTACTAATTTATCTGGATCGAAACCTATCAAGTTGAAAACGTATGGAAGTAGATATGCACCTGCTAATGTTTTACTCAGTTTTTCTTCTTCTATTAAAACATCAGCACCGGATATTCCATTATTTAAAATTTCTTGATTGATTTTCCCGGTGAATTTACCGTTTATTATTTCAGCTACTTTTATTATTTTTATTGGTTCAGTTTGTAATGTGTATCCCATTAATTTATCTTTACTAACTTCAACCTCTTCTCCTTTCAACCATTTGTCAAGATTTTTTTCTTTAAGATTTTCATCACCTTTTCTCTTTAAGAAGCTACTCAAGAATTTATTGAGAAATTCAGGAGTTACTTTATTTTTCCATTTATCAAATACTATTTCTTTAGTTTCGTTTATAGATTTTAATATTTTTTGATATTTATTTGGATCTAAACCATCATTATCAAATTCATTATTGGGTTCATCTATTTTATATCTAAAGGTATTTCTTTTTTCATTTATTGCTTTTAAAAGATCTATTTTTTTAGCACCACGTGGTAATACTTTATCATTTAGATTGTTTATTTTTAGTTCTTCGTGATTCGCAGGTAAAGATTTGAAAGTATTCCTATTTTTATCAAGAATATCTTCGAGTATATCCAATGACAAATCTAATTCAGATTTATCAACTTCCAAAACGTTTATTTTTCTGAAATTTCGATATTTTACATAGTTATTTAGTATTTTGTATTCACTCCATCCATTTTTTATTGCAGTTTCACATTCTTGGATGTTTAATCCAGAAAATTTCCATTTATCTTCATTTTTTTTTTCAATGTTATTATCATTAAAAAAATTAATCCAATCCATGATTTAATCATAAAGTAATAAGAGATTTAAAGTGATTTTATATATTTTCATTTTCTAATGTTTTCATTCTATCTTTTCTAAGTTCGTGTAGTTTTGCTTTCGTATTTCCAGAAGCAAGATATTTTTCGTCCAAATCTTCGATATTGCGATAAATATCATTGTAAAATTCAGCAGTTAATAAATTTGAATCTTTACAGTTTTTTATATCGTCTATTAGAGAATTGTAATTTTCATTTTCTTCCTTTTTGAAGGTTTCGATTAAAGAATCTCGTTTTTTAGTATGAATTTCATTTAATGATTTTTTATTTCTGTTGTTGGTCAAATATTTATCATCTAGAGAATCTATCTTATCCTTAACATATTTATCCAAAGTTTCAGGTGTTAAGAATTTATCAATATCCTCCTTGATGATATCATATTTTTCATTATTTTCTTTTTGTAATATTTCAGTTTTTTTCTCTTCTTGTATTTTTATGAATTCATGTCTTATTTCACTTGGTAATGTTTTGTCTGTAGATAATTTATTAAATATATCATCAACTTCATTAACTGTTTTCGAATCTTTTATTTCTTTTTCATATTCATTTATTTTTTCTTTTATTTCGGTTATTCTGTCTACTAAATTTTGTTTTTCTTTATCCAATAAGATTTCATCATCATTTATCAAAGTTTTTATTTTATCCAAATCTTCTTTTTTAGCTCTATCTATGTTTTTGTTCAATTCGTTAAATGATTTTTTTCTAGATTCATCTAATTTATTTTTTCTCAATGTTTGTAATTCATTGATTTTATTGTAGGATATTTTAGAATCTTTGATTTTTTTGTCAATGTCTTTGTTGTCAAGTAGATTTTTAACTTCGGATGTTACATCTGTATCAACATCATTAATTAAATTTTTTATTTCGTTAAATATAAGATCTTCATCAACGGGTGGTGTGATAGGGAAAAGTTTTTCTTTGATTTTGAGTATTTCATCTTGTAATTCTTGTTTTTGTTTATCTGATAATATTCTATTATTTGTTATTACATCATTCATATCATTTAGATCATCTTCAGTTTTGAGAGTGTTTATTTGATTATCAAATTTATTATATTCATTATCTCTAAAATTGAATAGTTTCTCTCTTCTTATTTCTTGTAATTCATCAATATCATCATCTGATAAGTTTGCATTATTTATTTTTTTGTCTAATTTTTCATTATCTAGTAATTTATCTGCGTTATCTTTATCAATATTTTCTATTTCTTTTTTCAGTTCATCAAATACATTTCCAGGTTTTGGTTTTGTAGATTGAGATATTTCAGATAATTTATCTTGGATTAATGTTGAGATATCTTCTTTTTGTTTAGTTGATAGTATTTTATCATCTTTTAAATCATCTATTAAATCATCTATCTCTCCTTGAGTTTTTGAAATTTTTATTTTATTTTCAAATTCATCAATTTTGTCAGATATGAATTTATTCAATCTATCTTTTCTTACTTTTTGTAACTCTTCAATTTTATCTTGTGATAGATTTGCATCATATATTTTATCATCTAAATCTTCATTATCTAATAGTTCTTTCGCATTATCTTTATCGATATTTTCTATTTCCTTTTTTAATTTATCAAATAAGATTTTTTCAGGATCTTTAGAACCTTTAGGTTCTTTTGGTTTTTGGGGTTCGGGAATTTTACCATGTAATATTTCCAATCTTCGATTTTCGAGAATTTTTTTATTGTAATCTGGTATGTTTACTTTTTGGATTAAAGATTTGATGGGACCATCATCTTCGATATATTTCTTATGTATTTCTCTTTTTTCTTTCAATCTTTTAGAGAATATATTTGAATCTTCTGGATTATGTAATTGGTTATTTTTTAAGGATTCTGATATAGATAATAAATCATTGATATATAGATTCATATCTGTTTCATTTTCTAATTTTACTAATTCATTTATTTTTTTCATCCATTTACTACTAATGATTTTTTTTTCATTGTTTGAATAAGAGTCAGAATTCCAAAAAAAAGGTTCGTAAACACCATTTTTCATGAAATTTTCAAATCTGTTATTTGTTGAAAATTCATCTATCAAGAATTCAACTTTACAATAATTTTTCAATTGATTTTTTCGTTTTTCTAAATTTATTCGTATTTCATTTATTTCATCGATGTTAAATTTAATCAGTTTGTTGAAATATTCATTTCTAAGTAATGAGTTATATAATCCATTTGTAGTTAATGATAAACAATCAATTTCGGATTCGATCGATTTTAAGATTTCACTTGTGTACATATCTTCATGATCTTGATTGCATTTTTTCAGACCATTGACATATGTATAACCTATTTTTTTGTAAAAAGAACTATCTTTTGTTTTTCCATTCATTTCATTAACTGAATTAAATAACCAATATTTATCAATGACGTTCAGGTTATCAGGATTATCCGATAAAAATCTCCACCATTTAAACCAGTTTATTGTTGAAGATTCTTCTAAAGATTTCAACCTTTTTTTCTCCAAGTTAATTACTGTTTCGTCTTCTAATTCATACACCACATCTTTATTTCTTAATGAACTGTAAATGAATCCTTTGTACATTGATAAATCTATTGAATTATCATCCATAATATTTTTGAAAAAATTTTCTTTTAGAGGTAAAGATATTAACATTTCTTTACATATATCATTTCATATTTTATGTAATTCAATGGTATATTTTTTTAATGAATTATTTTTATTGATGATTTTTTCATATTTTCCTGATTCACAATAATCAATAATATTTTCTTTATCGTTTTCTAATAAAAATTTAAATCGATCATATGACATTTCAAATATGTATGAATCTTTATTCATATTTTGTGTATCGACATAATCACTATATCTGTTGAATGCATCAAGATATTCCGGTCTTGTCATTAAATTATATTTTTTTAAAAGATCATCCCATATGATATTAAAAAGTCCATCAAAGTTATTTTTTGTTTTAGAATGAATGTAATTTGATATATTTCCGATCTTACTATCTTTGATGATTTTATTATGAGTATCATAATTTACACAATCATAAGATTTCGATTTAATATTCTCTATAAAAATTATCCATGTGATTGATATAATTAGGATTCTGATAATTATCATAATTATTTATTGGGTTATTAGCAATTTTGTAAAAATATTCTATGTTTGGAGTTTCTATTGTGTTAATTTGATTTTGATTTTGAATTTGATTATTGTAAGGATTTAGTTTTACACATTGAAGGAGATTTTCATCTGTGTTATATAAGATACATATGTAAACTTGTGAGAAACTATTGGGTATTAAAAACAAAATCAAAAAATAAAAATACATTTTATTGAAAAAAAATAGATATATTTATGATTTAAATAGTTAAATTGTTAAAAATTTGTCCTATTTTTAAATGTAATAAATTAAAATAATGAATATCATCATCTCTTATTATTGACAATAACAAATCAACTATTTCTAAAAAGATTCTTTTATCTATTTTTTTGATGTTGAGATAAAAAGATTTATTTCTAGTTCTATGTATACCATGATTGATAATAGATTTCCAAGGTTTGATGTAAAGACTTTCTCTGTAATGTTTGAGATTTTCCGAAATTATTTTATAAAGATGTTTAGTTGATGTTTCGTTATTTGAATATATGATTTTATTATATCTTTTTAATATGAATTCTATGGACTTTTTAATAGGTAAAATAAATGAAATGTGTATAGGTTTTAATTTAATATGATTTGTTTTTCTTTTTTTGAAAATAATAGAAATATTATTATTTAGGATATCTGGATTTATTTTAGAATCATTTATTATTTTTAATTTTGAATGTAATATATCAAGTTCTTTTTCAAATTCATCTTTATTATCCAAGAAAAATATATTAACCTTTTTTAACATTTCGATATATCTATTTATTTTTTCATGATCCTTTTCATTTATTATCATTGTTTTAAAATTTTCAATTAATTTATTTCCTTTTTTTTTGATAATATCTTTTAATTCTTTGATATGCCAAGATCCTAATCTATCATCATTTTGTATTTGGGTATATAATTTACTTCCAGGTTGTAATTCAGTGATTTTAGTTTTTTTATTGATTTTTTTAGTATAGTAAGATAGTATATCTTTACAATCGAATAAAAAATTCATTTATTTATCATGGTAATTAACTGGATCCATCTATTTATAACAATAAAAATTTACAATAATTGAAATTTATATTACGTAGCGGGAGAAGCGTAACCACTAGAATCAAGAGGAACATTGAGTGGAATATTTGGTTTTTCAAATGGATTATTTGGTTTTCCATCAGGATTTTCAATAGCAGCTTTTACAGCATCGACTAATTGTTGCATAGCAGATTGACTTGTGATTTTAAGATTTGTTACGCTATCCATGTTTGTATCATAAGCCATGAAAGGTATTACTTTATCAAGAATGAGAAAAGGTCCAGAATGAGTTGGTAATATTGGTTCTTTACCGAAAAAAGTAATATCATTATTATATTTGATATCAGGTAATGATAAACTTCTTTCTATTCTTTTTCTCATCATCACTGGATCAAAAGTTACGGTTAAGACCCAGATAGTATTTGGTTGATATCCATTAGAATTAGTTACAGCATCTCTATCGCAACAATAAACGATTAAATTTTTGTCTGTATCTACTTTTTTTACTCCATAAGGCATTCCTTGTGATTCATTTTTTTGTCCGTTATTTGTATGGGAGATGTAAACATATACACTAAAATCATGCCAAAAAGGTTTACTACAACTGCATTTAGATTTATTATCTTTTTGTTCGTCTACATCGATAGGTGTATCAATAGCTGTCATAAGTTCCCAATCATCTTGAATTATACGTGATTTCATATTTTTATCAAGATCGTCAAATCTAAATGTACCTTTGACAAAAATATCTTCTAAACCGATATTTTCTTTAGTAAAGATTTTTTCATTTTTAGCCATTAGAATTGATAGAGTTATGATAAATTTACCAGGTGGTTCATATAATTTTATTGAAGAATCAGGAGTTATTGGTATACCATCATTATTATCGCAGTTTAAGACAATACTCATATCTGCTTGACAGAAATAACCATGTAGTCTTAATTTTGGTGCTTTGGGAAGTTCATTTGATATGGTTTGACCAAATCTATTTACCATAATCAATGATTTTGTGACTACATTTTTATCTGTATAAATATTTTTAGCATATTTTATTTCTTCTCCTTTTAAATCTTCATTATATTTTTCTTCTACTTCACTATTAAAAGAACCATAATTATCTATAAACGAAGCATCACTAAAAAAAATAGAACTAATACTATCTAATAAGATTGAATCAAAAGTTTTTGGTTTTCCATCCTCGATAAGATCTTCTGGATCACAAACTATATTACATGGTAATCCAGAAATAGAAGCGATATTCGATTTATTACTAGCATCTTTCATATTTTGATATAATGCGAATCTATCAACATTATTACCAAAAAATTTAGAGAAAACATCATCAGAGTATTTTGTTTTTTTTTGTTGTTTTGTGTAAGGATGATAACTATTACTATAAAAATTTATATTTTTATTCATGATTGTTTATTAAAAAAAGTTTTTAATTGTTTTTGTAAATATGTGAGTTCTTGTTGTTTTTTTCCAACTTTAGAATTTGATTTATCTTTTATAGATTTTCTTTTATCGTTTTTAACAAGATCAGAGGTTGATTTTGGTGATATTTTTTCTATTTCTCTGATGATATCTTCATTGATTATTTTTCTTGTTAATAAACTAGCTAGTGTTTCACCAACTTTAAACAAATTTTTAATTATAGTGATTCTTTCTTTGGATAATTTCAAATCTTGTTTTTCTAACAAACTTATTCTTTTATTTAGATGAATTTTTTCATCATCCATTCTAGATTTTCCAATTTCTCTATTAAGTTTGTTTATAGATTCTCTATTTTTTGTTATATCGATATTTTTTTTTCTTAGAGATTTTAATAATTCATTTTTTTGTTCTTTATCAGAATTTGAATCTTTTTTTTGTTTATCAGGTTTGTAATTTTTATCATTTTTTTTCTTGTTATTTGCTGAGATATTAGAGTTTGATTGTTGATTAAAATAATCAGCAAACAAAACAGGTTTTGCATTATTCTGTGGCATTTTAAGAATTGTTAATTTCCAACATATGTTAAAAAAAAATTTAATAATCCACTATCTAAAATTTCTATTAATTTATAGTAAGATTTACTTATGGGTAATAAAAAATCTTCGAAAAGATCTGAATGTTTTTTAAATTCTACAAGTGTTATAAAAGATAAATATACTAATAAAACAACGATTGTTAATCTAGTTAATCTAAATATACTGATTAATAAATCACTCATGTAACGATCGTAATATTCTTCGTTATCCTTTTCAGACATAACAGAATGATAAATGATATTTATTCTATTTATATTTTTGAGGTAAGGAAGAAATTAATTCTTCAAGATTCTTGTCTTTATCATAAAATTTTCCAATATCTTGCATTGGAATACGTTGTTTTAAACAATAACTAGAGAATTGATTCCATTTATTTTTCTTAATGGATTTACATAGGTTTTGATTATTTTTTTTCTTTTTTTCAGTTTTAAGACAAGAATTTAAAATAAATTTGATATTTTCTACATTTTTTTCAATTTCATGGAGATATTTTTCGATTTCATTAATATTTTTATTCATTTTTTTCAATTAAAAATTATCTAATTTATAAAAAAAATATATCTTTTATATATAAAATTATAGTTTTTCAAAAAATAATTTTCAAATTTTATTAAGAAATTATATGAATTTTTAACATATTTGTAACAAAAATAAAATAATCGTATAAAATTATTATGAATTATTATATAATTTTCTTTGAAAAAAAAACTAAAATTGAAATAAAAAAATAAAAAAATCATATAGTTTAAAGATTTTATGATAAATTAATGAGAAAAATATCATAAAAAAAAACGAAAAAAAAATATTTTACAAGAAAATAGAATAAAAGAAATAGTTAATAATTGAAACATAGTATTTTTGAAAATAAAAATATGATTTCAAAAATGAAGAATTAAATTTCAAAGATTTAAAATCAGAAAAAAATAATTTTTACGTAAATTCATTAATAAAATTTAAGAAAAAAAAATAAAAAATGTCAAAAATTTCAAAATATTTTTAAAAACAATAGTAATTTTATAAAAAAAGACTAGAAAAAAAATATTTGGTGTAAAAAAAAAATAAAAAAGAATAATAATTTAACAGAAATAAAGGGGAAAGAACGATAAAAAAATAAAAATTTGAGAGAGAAAAAATAAAAAAAAATGAAAATTATATTTTTTTTTTACTTTTTTTTCAAAAAGTATTAATTGAGAAACAAGAAACTGAATGAATTTATAAATATTTTTTTAATGAATCATTATTTTTTTAAAAAAAAATAAATAAAATTTATGAGAAAAAATTAATTTTATATTGAAAAAAAATAAAATTTGCAAATTATTTTAAATATTTTTTTTGTTTATTTTTAGAAAATAAAAAAAAAGTAAAAAAAAAGTAGAAAAAAATAATCAAATTTTGAAATTTCTCAAGATTTTTTTTTTAACGATTGACTACCAAATTTATTACTAAATCCGTTTTCCTTTAATAATGTTGTGTATGATATTTGTCTTAATTTAGAATTTTCTTTGATAGAGATTTGTAAATAATAGTTTTTATCACGTTTTATAGATGTCCAAGTATGGTCAGAATATTTATTATAAAGTTCGATATCAAATATAAAATTTATATCATCTAATTGGGTTTTCATTTCAAAGTATTGAACTCTATTTATGCTAACATGTCTTATTTGATTATGGGATTTTCGTTTTTGTTTTGGTGTCCAATCACCATGAATTTCAATTGTGAAAGGATCTAAATTTCCAACATATGTCATTATATAAGAATAATATTTATCTTTGTATAAATAGCAGAATGTTTTTATAGAACTGTAACAAGATGAATTTATATAAATTATTAATCTCGTTATTGGTATTGCAAATCATTTTTGTTGTGTTATTCAGTAATATTTGTCTAGCGGACTCTGATGAAAAAAATGATGGAAACAAAAAAGAAAATAAAAATCTATCACCTAATTTTGATATAACAAAAGGTGAAGAAAAAAATTATTATCAAGTTTAAAATTACTTTTATATTATATTAACAAGATATTTTTGAATTATTTTATTTATACATGATATTGTAAGTATTGATGATAAATTAAAATAATATCATCATCAGTAATGAATTTAATATTATTTATTTTCATTGTATAGGATTTGATTTTGCATGTGCATTTACATATTGGTGAGTAAAAAAAAATTATTAATTCAATGAATGAATCAAGACATGAATATGATAGATATTATTAATATTCACAAATATAAAAGATATGATGATATGACATAATTAAATCATAAAATAAATGAAAAGAAAAGAACCACATAAACATGAACTTAGACCATTCTGGAGTCAGAAAGCAAAAGAGATATCAGAAAGATTATGGCTACCGGAGAAACATGATCTGAAAATATCAAATTTCATTTCTCATTCTTGGTTTAATATCAAGAGATCAGAACAAGTATCTATAAAGAATGTAGAAATTCCAATAATACCAAGATATCAAGAACATATCGATTCAGAAAATGATGAATTAAAAACTAAAAAGATTCGTATATATCCAACCAAAGAGGAAAAACAGAAATTAAAGAGTTGGATCGGTACAGCAAGATGGACATATAATCAATGTTTAGATTCTCTTGATGAGATCAGAAATTTGAAAACCAAGAAGGAAAAGATACAGTATATGAGACAGAAACACATTGTTGCGAGTAATTACAAAAATACCGAATTATCATGGGTGATCGATACACCAAGTTCTGTAAGAGACGCAGCAATGATGGATCTGTTCAAGAATATCAAGTCTAATCATGCAAGAAAAATAGCAAGATTCACTTTAAAGAAACAGAAAAAGAAAGATAAAAATCAATCTATTACTATTGAACATTTATGGTTTAACAAGAGTAAAATTTTTAGTTTTTTGAGAAATATCAAAACTAAGGAAAAAATACCAGAGATCAAGCATGCGGTCAACATTATCATGAATAGATTGAAATATTTTTATATCTGTATTCCTATTCCCACCAATATCAATAAACATGAATCTATAAATGAAGATGTCTTAACTCTTGATCCAGGTGTACGGACATTCATGACAGGTTATGATACAAAAGGAAACATATCGGAATTTGGAAACAAGGATATTGACAAGATACAAATAAGATGTTTACGATATGATAAGTTACAGAGTTGTCTCAGTAAATATGACAAGAAAAGAAATAAATGGAAGATATTTAGAATAAAGAGATCCATGCATCGTATCTGTTTCAAGATCAAGAATCTGATAAAGGATTGTCATTACAAGATAGTGAGATATCTATGTCAGAATTATCAGACTGTGTTGTTGCCAAGATTCGAGACTCAAGATATGGCATGCAATACAGATGATAATTGAAAGATATCTAGCAAGACTGCTAGAAATATGCTGACATGGAGTCATTACAAATTCAAGATGTTTCTGAGACATAAGATTAGAGAATATTTAGACATGAACTTGATAGAATGTACTGAAGAATATACTAGCAAGACATGTACGAGATGTGGAATGATTAACAAGTTGGGAGGATCAAAGAATTTCACTTGTGGTTCATGTGGTCTAAAGATAGATAGAGATCATAACGGTGCTAGAAACATTTTAGTTAGATATCTATCACTCATGTTTTGATTTTGTTTATTTATTTATGGGGAGCTGCAACCTCATCAGGTTTTAGGATGGATGATTAACGTTATCTGTTTTGAATTTTTGTAGCAGGCGTGATATTGGGATTAGCATTATCATTTGTAACGAGCTATTTGAATAAGAAAAGGATTGCTTTATTTTTAGATAATATAACTAAAATAATTAAAAATAATAAAGAAAATAAAAATATGAATGATGATGATGATGAATATCTTTCAGAAGGTGTGATGCGTTTAAGTAATAATATCTTATTTATTTCTTAATTAACCTTAGTCAATTTTTATTTAGAGGAAGTTGATTAATAATGATAATATATTATAAATTTATGATAGAGTTTTTTTTGTTTTGTAAAAAAAATGTCTCTTCCTGATTTAGCATCTATTAGAGATATTTTATTTGATGAAAATCAATGTATAAAATTTTTATTTGATAAAGAAATATTGTACAAACCAACAAATTGTTCAGAATGTAATGCTAAATTATCTTTAGATAAGAAAGGAAAACGATTTCGATGTATTAATAAAAAATGTCGAGAATCTATATCTATTTTTAAAGATTCATTTTTTTCTAAAAGTCATCTCAAATGTAATAAAGTTATGGAAATTGCTTATTATTGGTTATCTAATTGTTCTAATAAAACAATAAAGCAAATGACAAAATCATCTCCGAATACTGTTACGAATTACACAAGATTTTTAAGAGAGTTAGTAATTGATACTTTAAGGGATCAACCAACAAAAATAGGAGGAGAAGGAATAATCGTAGAAATAGACGAATCAAAATTTGCTAAAAGAAAATATCATAGAGGTAGAAGAGTTGATGGTGTATGGGTGATTGGCGGAATCGAGAAGACTGAAGAAAAAGAGTATTTTTAAAAATTGTAGAGAAACGAGATAGTGAAACTATTAGAAAGATAATTGAAGATCATGTTGAGAAGGGTTCTATTGTACATACTGATCGTTGGAAAGGTTATTTAGGCATAGAGAATCTTGGTGTTACACATAAATCTGTGAATTATTCAAAGAATTTTACTGACCCAATAACTGGTGTTCACACGAATATGATAGAAGGTTTGTGGAATGGTATTAAATTACAGATTGCACTACGTAACAGAAACAAAAATTTAATCAAAGATCATTTGTTAGAATTTATTTGGCGCAGGATAAACAAAGATAAACTTTGGGATGCGTTTATTTATGCGTTACAATCCACAGCATATTACGAAAATAAATAATTTGTATATCAATTTAATTTCATCACATTTTGTGATTATTCAGTGCATTAGTACCCGATATTCTATATTTCAGCCGATTTTTGTTAATTCAATTCTATTTACTAATTTATATTACAAGTAATCATTATTTGTAATCAAAATTTTGTTTATAAAATTTTTTTTTTTTTTTTTTAGTATTAAAGTAATTATCTTGGCTAATAAAATTTTTATTAGTTTAATATATAGAATTAATTATACAAAAATAATATTTATTATATATTAATTATATAATAAATATATAACAAATTATATGTATAATTTTAATTTTTATTTATTTAAATAGTTTGTTAATTAATATTTTTTTAGTTATTGATTAGTAGAATTTTTATATATATTATAGTATAATATTTTTATTATTAAGATCTAGTGATCTTAGTGTAGTAGTTAGGTTACTAAACTGCTATACAAGAGGTCTGGAGTTCAAATCCTATTGTTAACAGAATTGAATAATTATCTAGACTTTCTATATTTGATTTATAGTAAATCTTGTTGATTTCAGAAGTTGTAATTCTGTAAATCATATTGCATTAATATTATTCAGATATTAGAAGTATAATATAGTATTTGAAAAAATATAATATTATATAAATAAATCTTAATAGAATTTATAAACAAGGAATCTGTATAGTAGAAATCTCAAGTTAGATAAATCAATATAGATTTTAATAGTTATACTAGTTAATATTTGATCTAAGAAAGAAATCTGTATACAAAAAAATTAATAAAATATATACAAGTAAGTCTATTATATGAGATTATATGATAATATCAATTTAGCTTAGTAGCTAACTAGATTTAAGAGGATCTGTTATATAAGATATCCAGAAGTATAAATAACTAACTCAATAAAAAACTATAGTAGAAATTAGATTTGTATAAATATCAAACAAAAGTATATACAAGCTAGATTAGAATATAGTATCATATAATTAGGTCTATAGTATCTATTAATTAGAGAGTTAGTAAAGAAGTACCTTGAGATAGAGTTTAGACTCTGAATCATAAAGTTTATAGATATATATCAGCTCAGATATCTTTTAGAAGAAGTAGCATAGAGTTAGATTAGCTTAGTAATAAATAGATAGAATATAGGTAAGTTATAGGACCAAAAAGTTTAAATAGAGAATCTTCAAATAGATTTAGATATTATAGCTAGTATAGAATCTTTAGATAGACTACTTAAAATATAGCTAGTTATACTTTCACATATGTATTATTATTCACTATTAATATCAATAAAAGTTTTAGCTGATAGTATTTGTATAAAGTAAAAAAATATATATATTTTTATTATTATAATATAATTACTAGCTTTATAATTAATAGAATTTTTTATATATATTATATTATATTATTTTTATAATTACTAAATCAGATATTTTTTCTAATGATTATTTAAACTATAAAGCAAATTTTATTATTTAAAAAATATTAACAAAATTAATATTTTTAAAAATACTAATAAAAAAAATAGTATAAAATATATTAGTTTATGAGTAGATACAAATAATATAAACATAAAATTTAGTTTTAATAAGAAGTAACTATTAAAAATTTTTAGAGAAATATATTCTTTATTTTAAAGTAATAAAAAAAAAAATTTAAAAAAGTTGAAAGAAAAATATTTATTATATTATTTAAGCTAAATCAAGTACTTATATTCCTTTTAACTATTATATATATATATATATTTATATTTAAATAATCTTATTTATTATTTTATTAAGAAAAAATTAATATAAGTTACAAAGTAAATTACTATATAATTTATAATAAAATACTCTTCTTTAACTATTCTAAACTAAAATTAAAAATAATTAACTCTTTTTAACAATTTTTAAAACCAAAATAATAAAGAAAAAAAAACTTTTATATATATAATAATACTTTATTTTTTAACAAAATATATATAAGTAAAACTAAAAAAATTAAAAGTTTAGTAAAATATATTCTATTATTAAAAAGTAAACTATAAACTATATATAGATTATTAGTATTTTTATATATTTTATTATTAGAAATAAACTTTTTAAATATAAAAGTTAAAGAAAATACTTAAATAGAGTCAAATATAATAATATTTTTTAGGCTTTTTAGATTTATTTTAGATATTTTTGCTCTTATTTTTAAACTCTTAGCTAATCTTAAAAACAGTTTTAACTATTTAATAAACTTGAAATATTTTTTATAAAAAAGTAAAGATTAGAACTTATCTTTTACTAAAGATCAGTATATATATTTTTAATAAATTTAAAAGTAAGCTTGTAGTATAATAATAATAAATATATATACCTAGAATTAGTATAACAAATATATAATATTATATTACTGTATAGGCTAAAAGAGTTATATTATTATAATATAATGAGCTATTATATATTTGATGAAATAACTAAATTATTATAGATATTTGCAAATAAGTATATTTTGTATTTATAATTTTTAATTATTTAGTTTTAGATTAAATTTACATTAGATTCTTATAAAATACTTTTTATTTTCTCTTTTCTATTATTTTGTTTTTGTTTTATTTTTTTTAACTTGTTAGGTTTTTAACTTATTAGCAAGTTTTTCTAGTTTAGTTTTAAATATTATATATAGTATATAGTCTTATTTTTTATTATATATATTAATTTTATTTTTTTTTATTTTTTTTTTTCAGCAATTATGCTAATACTTTATTTAATCAATAATTTTAATCTATGACTAAAACATTTCTATCTAG